GAGTGCTAAGCGGTTGATGAACGTCCATTGTCAAACTGTCGTGTTAACTTGTGCTTTTTGACGCGGTACTACTATGAATTGTCATCTGCTGAGTTTACAACTTGTCCGTTGTCGTTGCCCGTTTTTTTTAGACCGAATCTTCCTAATAATTGGCTGGTAGTGTCACTGCCCAGACCATTGCGCGTATTCTAACGATTGAGACGGCATGTCTTGATATCTCCTATTCTTCATCCAAATGGGCAGCCAAAAGACAGCAACCAAAACCGGCGCACGAAAGTGCATGGTTAATGGTTGTTCAAACTGAAAAACTGAAACTGAACTGATTGGCCACATCTTGCATTTGGCTGTAGAATACTGTTTTAACGTCACATTCTGTTGTTAATGTGTAACCGCACGATTTGGAAACAAATGGAAGAGATTCGAAAAGATGTGGGTTTCAGCTAGTCATGGTGCTGTTGGTCTTGCAGGTGGTAACAAGAACTAAGCTATAAACTCTTTAACAGCCGGTAGACCTGATGTGGTGTATTTAGTTAGTGTTCTTCACTCCGGGGACCTTGATATGCTTCACACTTTGTCATATAAGTGATTGCAACGCTGTAGTCATGCAGCATTCGTGATGTAATATACTGGTTTCCTGTGTCTAACTGCGTGCAAGCATTACAACATACAATGTAAACCAGTTGAATTTTTTCATATATGTACATCTTTACCTCATGATTGACGAAGTCCAAGGAGCTTTGCTTTTCGGGGACACCCGTAGTGCGACTGGCTCCAGAATGTTACGGAGAATAGTTCATGAAGATTATCGGAAATGTTTTCAAAGTGATATTTACGGTGTTAGTCATATTTTCGAGCATGGGATTGCTTCTAGCTGAGTTCCATAAAAGGTGAGGGGCTGTTGTTTGTACGTTATGGGTAACAACCTTGTCGGTGATGTGGAAGTACACAACTGCGATTTCTAGCCCCTTGATCAGGGCACTGATTTCCGCCTACTTCTCTAGGAATGCTCTCTATTTACTTTCTTCTCAGTTGACCTCACTTGCATCGGTTTTAGCTCGTCTGTCGATTGGTTTCCCAGGGTCTGACCGCTGTCTCCCAACCGTAGTTCCGAAACAAATTCACTCCCAGAAACGTGACCTGGATGTGTCTGTTCATCAGCTAAAACTTCTATATTGTTCGCTCGACGTCTATGAAAATTAATTATCGGTTAATGTTTTTCACTGTTATTTGGGAATCCCCACAGGTGATATTCAATGTTTTCTTTTTATCTTCACCCTTTGCAGATTCATTTATGGGACAAAGTGGTGCCTGTTACAGTACCATTAGATATTGTGGCACCCCCGGCACCCAATCGGCGTGTGAGGAGAGGATTGCCGGACGAAGGTATGAATAATCAGTGATCCAAAGGGTTCTGATCTGTTTGCAATGTGCCACACCGATCACTTCTTGCTACTAGTAGTATTTCTGTCTTACGGACACTAGAATTTCATGGGTCTGCTTTTAGTCAATTCCCCTAAGGTGGCATAATACTGTGGACACAGTGAGCTTTATATTCGTATAAACACAATGCATTGCATTGTTAGTTGACCAGCTACATCTTGTTTCTAGGGAAAGTGAACCACTTCAGGTTCACCATCGAAGTGTGCGTATGGTGGGGCGATAATGACGGATTTTGAAACCGTTGAGCTTTTGACCAGATTCGCGCTAGTAATAGTCGCTCTATGAGTAAATGAACTACTGGCTTCTTTTTGCCCATGGTTGGAATCACTATCATACTGTTCGTTTTATTTTGATGATACTCTACGAATCCGACTCAGATCCAGTCAGGGCATTACCCACTCTGTTACACCATCTGATGCCAACTCAGCTGCCAAATGACCAACAGAAATGGAGGTGTCCAACTGTACACAACAGGCTCATGGAGTTAATTCAAAGCTGTTGGCAAAGCCTAGAAAACACGGTCCGGGTAGTATAAAGAGCGAGCAAGATAAGCAGTTGTGAAGGAGTCGTGTGCTTTTGCGTATGATTGACTAAAGAGGGTGACCAGAGTCTGACAGTATTTTATTCTCCAGTTTCGCACAATCTTCGATGTGTAGGATGACAATGTGATGGATTATGTGAGTTCCGAGTAGACCACAACATATGGATAAATGTTCAAATAATATGGATATCAAACACATAAACCTTTCTGTAGTGAACCAGGAAAAATCACCGGGGTGGCATAGATCCAATGTGGTGAGATGCATACAGTTGAACAGTTAAAGTTTTTGTACAATGCCCATTCTGAGCAATTTTCCAGCTACTAAGACCCCCCCCCACACACACACCGATTTTGGTGACTAAACGATCCGAGAGACCTGATGTGTGCATGTTGCGCTCCATTTTCCGCACCACATTCAAAAATCGCGATTAATTTCTCACCCTCTGCTCTCATTGTGATCACATTATCATATATCACGTAAACTCGATTCAACATGTTGCACATGTGTTCTGTGCCAGGGAATATCTATCTACCTGACCGCTCGGAATGGTGTTCAGTACAAGTACACCATGAGAAAAATTTGGTATAAAGTCGAGTAACAACGGAACAGCCTTTGAGCCTCAAACTAGGGCACAGGTGCACACTGTGGTCAAGATCTCGGGTGGTTTGATGACCGACACTGAGAATTGCTCCAGCTGCTGCTCGACCATTAACGGGCAAACATATAACGTGTCGATAGGTTAACTTTTGATTAAATTCCTGCATGCCGGTCGTAACCTCATTCGTCCACATGATACTACTACTACCAATAATAATAATAATAATAATAATAATAATAATAATAATAATAATAATAATAACAGTATTTGGTTCAATTGAAATATTACAACTTATGCACTTCTACAATCGTGGAAACAAGGAGTTATTTCACTCATATGTAAAGGTGTTTATCGTAGTAACCGACCTGTAACGCTCCTTCCAGTGTCATAGAAAGTCATGAAGGCACTTGCGGCAGATTCCCTGATGAAACATTTAAGCAGATACAGCGTTCTTTCACCAGCTGAGCATGGGTTCCGGTTAAACGATCCTGTTCCACCAAATTGCTTCTTGTTTCAGATGGATAGACCAGGAGAGTCGGGGAAGGGACGCAATGAATGTAATCCCTCTGGACTTCTCGACAGCATTTGATCGGGTAAACCACCAAACTCTGTTGAGGAAGCCTTTGGATTACGGCAATCGAGGTTTCGTGCTTGGATAGATTAGAGCATTTCATCAACAACAGAGCATATCGATTCGTGTATCTGATTCTCTGTCCCGCAGTATTCCGCAAAGGTCTGTACTTGGTTCTCGACTTTTCCTCGCATTCATCAACGATCTACCGAATGCACTAGACCCAAAAGCAACATTATTTACAGATTCCTCCAAAATCTGTGATAGAGCAACATCACTGAAGGACTCGCTATCACTTCAAGAAAGACTTAACGCATCCCATCAATTGTCTATGAAGAACGACATTGAATCCAATGTTTCTAAATGCAAAATCCTATCCCTACGCCCCAGGAGTAGATTCCCGTATTTCCTCGGAAATCAACAGTTGCCGCATACCTTCGGGGAAAGGGTCCTAGGTATAATTGTTCAAAAGAACCTAAGTTGCCCGGTCACTTTCGCCAGGGTTTAGTCCGCTGCTACGAAGAACGACAGCTTGCTTAGGCGTGTCTTTCGTCGGTTTGAATCAGCATTTTTCTGACGTTTGCTATCAGTGCACATTTGACCTTATGCAGAGCACGCCATTCACACCTAGGGCCCGTGATTAAAACATTATCTTACTATGCTTGAGCGTCCACAAAGAATTGTCATCAAGATGGTCAAGGGATTGCACTACCTCATCTACAGGAAGAGACTACGATCACAGGGACTATATCGCCAAATTCGAGAAGACTTGATTTTATTGTACTAAATATCACAGAACCCTACCCAATCGGGTCGTCCGCTGCTCAGTTTGTCACCCAACATACATCTTGGGGACATCGCTTACTGATTGCAGTGTCGTCGGGAATGCCGGCGTCAATCGTTTGCAATCAGAGTGTGCAC